CACAATGAAATATTATTTGGCAATTAAAAAGAATAGAACACAGACATGCACCAAACATGAAAGAGCCTTGAAAACATTCATGAAAGAAACCAGTCACGAAAGATCACATACAGGTAAATCAGTCATGCAGCTGCCACCGTAACTTGCAGATTTTGAAGCTAGCTCTTGAGAAAAAATTTAGCTGCTTTGGGTCTCCAAGTATATTATTCTCTGAAATCAAGCTTTTGATAGGAATTAGACAGCTTTGTGGCTCTTGCCACAAATTCTGGGTCTAGATTTGGTATAATATCCATAAAGGGAAAAAGTGTAAAGAGTTGACTAGTTATTTTCTGTGTCCAGGCAGACGTGGTACATCTATTTCACGGACGTCGATGGAGATTGTTTGAATCTCAGGCCAGTAGGTTTTTCTCTGCTTTGGAAGACATTTCCGGGTCAGTTATTCCACCATCAATTAGTGTGTGTGCTCAAGGGGATACAATCTGATTTCAACATTATCTTAAACAAAACATAATTAAGAAGGTAAGTATCTTGCCAAAAAATTACATAATGCATTCCAAAGCCAATTAAAAATGAACTTTGGGCCAACCGTGATGAATACATGCATTTAGCACAGCTTTAAATGGTTAAAGGTGTGCATGCTAATGAGGAGTATAACTTTTTTAACTTAAAAGCTAGTTCAGGGGGCTGGGGATTTAGCTCAGCGGCAAAAGCGCCTGCCTGGCAAGCGCAAGGTCGTGAGTTCGGTTCCTGGTACCGGAGAAAAACAAAAAAAAAAAAAAAAAAAAGTAAAAAAAAAAATAAAAAAAAAAGCTAGTTCAGATTTCAGAAGGGGAACCCACCAAATCTCAAACACTTTTACGTGGCTATTCCCTCCCTCCAACGCTTTACAGTTCACTGAAAGCACCCAAACACCTTACTATTCACTGTGTCCACACCCTGGGACAGAGATCCATCTCAAACTCCTGAGTCAGTATCTGCATTTTAATAAGATCCCCAGGCAACCCATGGGCACATTAAAATGTAAGAGACTCTGCTCCCACATCTGTCTGAAGTTCAAGGCAAAAAAGCCTCACAAAAATTGGACAGTGAGCTGGGCGTGGTGGCGCACGCCTGTCATCCCAGCACTCAGGAGGCTGAGGTAGGAGGATCCTTGTGAGTTTGAGACCAGCCTGGGCTATAAAGTGCACTCAAGGCCAACCTGAACTGCATAGTGAGATCCTGTCTCAAAAAGACAAAAAAAGAAATTAGACAGTGGGTCACTATTTATAATCTCATTTAAGAGCAGATTACAGGAACCTCAAAATGTCCCTCTTTAATTCAAAGTGTTAAACACTGATTGTAGCTTGAACATGGAAATACATGATACCCACAGAAGAAGTCTTTGCTTAAACAGAGAGCAAGTGTTCCTAAGGGAAACTGTACCATTTTTCCATGTGTCTGTAGTTCTTCCTCCTGGCTTTGCATTTTGGGCCCCAGCACCGTATCCATGCGGAAGTTCGGCCTGAGACACTTAGGTTGACAGCAGCAGGCGGCTAAGGGGCGGAGATGACAGGACGGCCTGTAAAAGACGGCCCACTTGTCCACGTGGAACAAAGCAGTTAGACTAGAGAGCACTTCTTGCCTCCCCATTCACATAGTTCTCCTGTAGTCTTTAGGCTCCTTAAAGGGTTCCAACTCTCCTTATCCTACAGGGTTTAGAGAAGAGAAACTAACATCAACACACAGTACAATTAAGTTGTTTGCCTCATGATCCTGTGGTTTTGTTGGCATGGGGCTCGATGTTCCTCTCCAGCCTCACAAAAGAGCACTGTGCTATATATCGCTGGCCCGGGAAAAGATCAACATTCAAAATTTGAAGTACAGTTGAAATAGGACGTCTATCACTTCTGCAGCATTGTGAAGTTGAAAAACCCTAAATCCAACAACTATTGTAAGTTCGACTGTAATCTGTTTGAGGGCGGCAGTACCACCTTAGCCAATATATCACTTATTCTTTCCCATCTATTTTTTGGGGCGGTGCAGGGGGACTGGTGCTGTCAACTTCCTGGTAGCTTTGTAGCAGCTGCTCTGCGTTACTAAACAGCTCCTCTGCAGAGAACTGTAGACCTGAGGCTTCTCTCTGGTTTGGGGCTGGGTTTTAAGAGGTGATGAGCCCTAAGGGGTGTGACCACATCAGAGAACTATTTCTCAACTTCCTAGAAAAATGACAAGTGGACCATTTCAAGACTTGTGAAACAGATTAACCAAAAACAGTTGTGTCACCTAACCAGCATGACCAGAACGTTCATGGCGCACCAAGGCTTTCTGGGTGGGAAGGGCGATGCTGCACTGCGGTTCCAATTCTGCCTTCCCCACTTGTATTCAAGTTCTCTGCGTCTGAGTTTCTGTGCGTGTAAAACAAACATATAACACCCACCTCACTGAGTTGGTGTAAGGATAAAGTGACGCGTTTAAACGTCTAATCGATACAGACAGCTGGAAGAGTCTCTACCCCATATCCACTCTTTCAGAGGAGGACCCCCAAATCGTTTTGAGTGCACTGGGTAGGGTATGATTATATAGGGTTTAATCTGAAACTCTTAAGTGAAAGAGAAAAAGCAGAATTAAATTTTGCATTTAATTGACCCAGTTGAAGCGAATTATTAAAACTACAGTGGCCCGGGGATTGTTTTACACGGCTTTCTCCCTAGCCTCTTTGGGAGTGTAACGCGGCCCTGCGCCTCCGGGCTGCGGGGCCAGGGCGGCAGGTGCGGGCGCGGCCGGCAGGGC